TTCATTTTGCACACCTTGAGGACAAGGTGTCCTTGAAGGGTGGAGTAACGTGAGAGTCCTATTAGGGGTATAGAGGAATATTAGTTTGTTAGTATGAAGGGTAGTATAGTCATTAGAATGGTAATTAGTTAGGAGAATTGTTATAAATACGGGTGGTAGGGAGAGGAGGAAGATACCTGGGAGAATAGTATTTTGTGTAAGGGACTTGTGAAAGTTCTTGGGAGAGAGATAGCCCTCTTGAAAAGCTATTGATTCTTGTTAGGTTCTTGTATTCGAGTACCTAACAATCACCTACAACCAGCCCAGAAAGATCACAGACTTCACTTGACCACAGCATCCAAGGAACTGGTTGAGAAGAAAGAAACAGGCGGAACTCAAGAGAGCTCTCATCCAAAGGAGAGACGTTAAAACTGGTCAAGAAAAACAATAATCATGAATTAATGAGTTTAATGAGTTTTGGCATGAAATAACTGATCAATCTGCAATGATTTTTGCCACATTGAAGGAGTTGCAAACGGGTACTACAGTTGGTACAAGACAGCAACACATTTAATTGTATAGCCAAGACCTTCCTTGTTGAGAGCATGATATCAAGGACTAATTTGGCTATATCAGTAGTTGTATCAGTGGGCATATTGTGTATCAACATATTGGTCTTATTTTTCACTATTTATAAAAGAATCTATCAACAATTTTTCAAGGAAAATCACAGGCAAGTTTTTAACATGCAACTTTCACCATTTTATTTTAAAGGTTTAATAAAAATCCTTAACACACTTGTAAAAAATTAAATCTACTTGAAGATCAACTATCAACTACTTTAATATCAAATAAATATTAAAATAATTCATGGAGTGTTGGGCTTTCTCATGTACAAGTTATGAATTTAGGTATTTTATGTACTGAGGAAACAACTTATGACAACAAAGAAATCCAACACCTGGGCAATAAAACACCAAAATAACAGATCAAACAGACAGACAGAAATTATATCAAGAGCAAAAACTTTTAAACAGTACAAATCTTCAAGTTTTCTACAAGGAACAGCCTAATAACCTCTCTTTCAAAAACCATTTTTTTATCTATAAATTGGCCAAGAAGTGACCCAATTGGTAACAATTTGTAAACAAAAACAATATGAACATTATAATAGCTGGGGGAATAGGGCTCAAAATATCAAAAGGTATTAGGACCAGATGACAACAAGGGAGAACGATAGTTATTTTATTACATAATTCTTAATTATTGAAAATTCTCAACATAGTTACAAGAAACCCAAAGAATACTGAACCAATAAATATAAATATAAACTTCTCATAATGAATAGAATTTATATATTCACCATTTAAATGAATTATGTCTTTTGTTTCTACAAACTCTAAGTTCAGCTTTACGGCTGACAAGACATTGACTTCACTGAGCCTTTCCTTTTGGACTTGTGCATGCCTGTCTCTCTGGAGCGAATAGATCAGGCTGAGGATAGTCCCATTGGCTTGTCTGAAATCTTAACTATGAACTAATAAACTCATGTACCACCAGAGCCGTAGCGAAAGTGAGTCTTCATGGACAGCTAAAGCTAAATGAAACCAAAAGCAAAGCTTTCAACGATTCCGATTTGATGAAGAGATAGATAACATAAAAAAAATTATAAATTATAAAGCATAAATCTACAACACGCACAATTGTTCAAAATTATCTATTTCCCATTGTTCACACACCAAAAACACCATGAAAGTGCCTTCAAATAGGCTTGGGCAGTATTTTGTAAGTTAAACAATCGGTTAAATCGCTAAACTTACAGAAAATACCTCAGCTTTTCTAGCTACAGTTCAACCCAAGATCCTTATGCACTTCTTGGGGCTACAAGCACGCAGAACCAGAAAAGAACCAGAAAACAAGCATAAAATGATAAAAATCATACAAACATGAAATATAGAGGATGTAAAGAGAGATCAAATTACCTTGGCATTGGCTCTCAGAATCCTAAATGGCCCCAAAGGCCCAATCCTCATCAGAAACATGTGTAGCAATCACAAACCTCAACCAAATGCTCCCTGCCAACCTGCCAACCCACAAATCACAGAACTTGCCTTGAGTTCCTTTCACTTAAACTTCACATTGAAGCTCCAAAATCATCAACTGCGACCCCATCAAATACCTCATCCTCACTTCCTCAGCATACAACTCAAAACTCAGAGCTCTGGATAACACAACACCAGAGCCAAGCAAAGGCTATCCTCTGTTCTGCATAAAAAGACAGATGCATAAAGGTGAGTTGTGAGTAGCTATAACAACTTGACAAGTGAATGCTCAAACGACCCAATTAATAAATGATTGTCTACCCTATAATGACCTCAGCTAATCAACCATCTACAGTAGAAGTAGAAAACAGAAAACTGACTACAAAAAACATGAAATTAAAAGCTAACCGTATTGAATATTATGTACCTCAGTGGCACATTAACCAATAATTTCAATGAGTAAATATTTAACAATAAATAAGATATCTAATTCTGGAAATAAAATTTTCCAAATCAACCAAATCTGAGGTCAAATTTTGGCGATCCATCTCCCTGAGATGGACATAATAATAATAATATACCAGCTATGTAACGAGTTCATTTCTTGAAATGTTTACATACTTTTTAATGCAACAGTTCTCACATGCATATCCTGTTTTCTGTTATAATATAGTTCTCAGCCTGTAACATAATTTAAGCAGCCAATATATCTGGGGAGGTTTATTTCTAATAAAGCGGGAGTGGTTATCATATCCTCAAACCAACCGATTGATGAATAATTTTCCTGACACTGCCAGATAATAAATTAAAGCGCCAGAATAATGACATTAAATTGAATTATATTTAGATTACAAGTTTCCAAAGGAAGGTTAAGAGAGACTAATAGCTACTTGCATTATTAAAAGGTGATTTAAAATTGATGGTTATTCGAACAAGATGAATTTCAAAGTAAAATGAAACAAATAAAAGAAAAGGCAAGTATAATTTGATTCATTCCTCTGTTCAGAAAAAAGAATACTAAGCCTTGAATCATGGTACTATCAGCAGAGTAGTCTACAAAACATTTTCTGAAAGACCATATTTCTTCCTTTGTCATTTCAAAACATTGCAACCTTTGAGGGGCTTATGAAGAAGAACAAAATTTAAACAAATTCTATAACAAATTTCCACATTTCCATCTTCCCAGAAGCTTTCCCCACCAATACGATGGGTTCAACCTTCAAATATGGTGGACTTGGTTTTTAGTGTTGTTTATTTGCATATAAATACAAGAAATTTTATTACCTCGAGGGTTGTTCTCCAGATTTCGCCTCCATTATTGGAATAAAAAGCTCTCTGCTACAATGCTCTGTTTATGAGATTCTTCAGTGGCGGCCATGGGGAAAGTTCGTGGTGGAGATTCATGAATCATGATCTCTTGCAGAACTGTGCTCGGCTGTGGCTGGAGACATCCAGTGTGGTAGAGAAAGTGGCAAGGGTGTACGATCAGCAACTTGTGCCTTTTGATGGCATTTGACGATTCTGAACTTTTCGAGTGGAAACCTTACTGGCCACGTTTGGTTCTGCATCACCGTCTTTGTCATTGGCGAGGCAATCTATTTCAGACAAAGCTTTACTGTGACAAATTTAGAGAGAACTCCAATGGGAGCATCGAGAGAAAGAGAAACTACAAAGTTGGTGGGAAGAACTGGTAGACGAGCAAGGGAGAGAAATTTTGTCAAAATCCGAAATGTTGCTGCCAAACTGAGCGCCTTCTTTTTGGTGGCGATTTTGGGTATTCTTTTCTTCTAAAATTATCAAATACTGAAAATGTTGGCGTCAAACAGCTTAAGAACGTTGATATACAACATTACCAGTCAATAAATGATCATATTCTGATCTTACTTTCCCCCTTTTTTCTATTCCTGTACTGTCTTCCACTAGAAACAAATTGCAATTTATACAATCAATCCAATCTTAAACAGAAAATTCAAGGACTGTTTTTGTCACGGATGATTGAAGCTTTTTCATACCTCATTTTCTCAATTTCCCTTCCTAGAAAATCCAAAGTTGTATCGGTTACATGATTTGGGGCACAGCCTGAATCCAGCATCATCTTCAAAAATTTGTAAGCATCCTTAAACCGACCTGCTTTGCTGTGAACTTCAATAAGTGTATTAAAAGTAACAACATCTGGATTTATCCCACTGCTCCTCATCTGCTGAAACAGCTTATTTACTTCATCCATTCGGCCTGCCTTCCCCAGCGCATTAATTAATGTATTGTACATAACAATATCGAGATAGCCACCCTGCTCCATGAGCTTATCCAGAACAGAACTAGCAAGATCCGCTCTACCCATCTTCCCAAGTCCTTGAATTATCATGTTGTATGTCGCTATATCGGCTGGACAAACCTTCTCGCCCATTTCGTTAAATATACCCCATGCTTGGTGAAAATATCCCTTCTTCACAAATGAACTTAACATTGAATTGTAAGTGTACCTCACTGGGCTCACACCCATATCACTGAAGATCTCAAACAACTTGCATGCTAAGCTCAATTTTCCTTTTGCCAGAAAAATAGACAAAAATGTATTGACCATATCAATATCGAAGGAGTTGGCTCCTTTTGCTTGAACCCGTCGTCCCTGAGCTAGAGAGAATGGTTGCGAAGAATGGCTTGTGGACCTTGCAAGGTTAGCCAAAAGATCCACATGTGGGGATTCTGACCAATTTTCTTCTGTGTTTATGAAAATACCATTGATATCAACTTTCATAACAGAAGAAGCTCTTGAACTTATAATCTCATTCAAATCTTCCTTTGGGGAGAATAAAGTTGAGTAGTCTTTCCTTTTATTCTGCTGATATTTCACTGAATCCTCCATGTTGGCCTTCCATTTGAGAACATTGGGGACCAGATCACCTTCTCTAATGTGCTTCATGAGCCTCTCTAACCCATCCCACCGGCCTTGCTTGTGCATTCCAATCAACAGAGATGATACAGTAATTAGATCAACAATGAAGCCTCTCACTTCCATTTCTTCAACCGATTGTATCGCTTCCTCAAGCAGTCCCTCTTTACACAGTTGCAGAACAACGATGCTGTAGGTAACACCATCCACAAATTGACCCTTTTTCTTCAAATCACAGAATAAAGAGTAACCAGCTGCAGCTCTTCCATTCCTAAACAATCCATCAATTAGAATATTGTATGTCCAAGGAGAAGCTCTTACACCTTCCTGCACCATTTTATCAAAAAGTTGACATCCTTCGACAACTTTCCGAGCCTTGAATAACCCATCAAGGAGAGAATTATAAACAATGGTATCCAGCGTAAATCCATTGTACTCCATTTCATTAAAAATCATGGTGGCATCATCCATTCGGTAAGACTTACAGCAACCCTGAATAATTAAGCGATATGTGAAGGCATCGGGTTCATGACCTGATCCTTTTAACTCCTCCCACACAATAAGTGCATCCTTCACCCTTCCTACCAAACAGAGCACGTGAATAAGGCTATTATATGTGCACAAATCCGGACCAAAAGACTGAGAAACTGAACTCTTTTGCTTCATTTCTTTGAACAAAGCAAGAGAAGTATCCAGATAACCCCAACATCCAAAAGCATGAATACATATATTATATCCACAGATGTTGAACTCAAAGCCTCTAATTTCTCTAAGCTTATCAAATACTTTTTTGAACTCTATTCTCATGTCAGCTCTCCTGAGAGCAACCAATAATTCATTACAAGCAAGTGAACTGGGCAAGAAGGAAATACTATCAGCAACAGTACCAACATGCCCGCCATTATAGAAAGCATCGAAAAGCTTAAGGAAAATGGACAAGGCCAAACCCACCTGGTTTTTACGGACCAGAGCGAGAAGAAGAGAGTTGTACGTGTGGAGTTCCAACCCAGTTCCCAACTCTTCCATGTGGTCCAAAATTTCGAGAGCAGCGTCGAATTTACCGGACCCGATAAAGGCATCGAGAAGGAGCTTGAAAGTGTGAGAATCAACAGCAACGCCGTCTCGCTTCATGGATGAGAGTAGAAGGGGAACCTCGTGGAGGTAACCTGCGCGGCAGAGGATGTGCAAAATTCGAGAGTATGTGGAGGCGGAATGCTTGTAATTGGGGCTGAGAGAGCACCACGTGAAGAATTCGAGCTTCTTGGAAGGGTGAAGGGATCTGGAACGGAGGATTTGGAGGAGGAGAGGCTCCGATAGAGGAAGTGAATGAGAATGGTGTTGGAGGGTTCGAGTACCGGACTCCGATAGGGTTTTGGTGAGGGAGGCGACCAGGAGAAGGTCCGCCATTTGAGAAAGACTTGACATTGCCCTTGACTCCATGGCAACGAAACCTCGCCTTCCATGGCGCATTACATTCGCATTTCCAATGGCACGGGGGACGAGCGGCGGCTGAGGAAATTCAACCTTAATCTGAGAGATGATTTTTTAAAAACTAAAGGTGGTTTTGCGCCGAAACTAATTTGTTTGGTAAATTAAAATTTTGATTTTATGAAAAATTTAAAATCACTGTCAATTCATCTTTCTTCGATCTGTCTCTTTAAAATCATTCATTCTATATCGCTTTCAAATATATTCTAATTTTTCTAATTTTTTTTAGAATTATTATAATGTAAAATTACTTTTTCATCCTCGTTTATTTTGTCGCATCGAATAACGTATAAGATCTTGTCTTTCCTTTATCTTTTTGTTACTTTTTTCTTTATCTTCTTTGCTTCATATTTATTATTTATTATTGAAGCTTTGAGAGTAAATTAATCTTGCTCAATTTTATTAATTTAAGAATGACAATATTGGTAGACTACCATAAAGTGGTTACAAAATACAACTAAATGTAACAACATTAAGTTACTTGTACAAGAGTAATATAAACTGTAATACTCCCCTCAAGATGGGAGATGAAGATTAAGAACATCCATCTTGGATAGTAAAAGAGAAAGAGTTGTACAAGGTAAAGCTTTTGTAAAAATATTTGCTAACTGAAGAGCAGAACGGAGTGGGCATTAGCTTGACAAGCCCTTCAACCACTTTATCCCGAACAAAATGGCAGTCGATCTCAATGTGCTTTGTTCTCTCATGGAACGAAGGATGAGTAGCAATGTGTATGGCAACAAGATTATCACAAAACAGTAGAGCTGGAGGCGTATAAGAAACTTGCAGATCTTTGAGAAGATGTGTCAACCAAATTATCTCACTTGTAGCAGCAGCAAGTGAACGGTACTCGGCTTCAGCAGAAGATCAGGATACCGTCGTCTATTTCTTAGCCTTCCAGGACACAAGAGACTTCCCTAAAAAGATACCAAAACCAGTGGTTGATTTTCGGGAATCGAGACAAAAAGTCCAGTCAGCATCACAAAATGCCCGAATCTGAAATGAAGAAGAACTTTGCAAAAAGATGTCTTGCCCAGAAATGCCCTTTTAAGTACTGAATCAGTTGAAAAACAGCAGTAAGATAAGGTCGTCGTGGCTGTGAAACAAATTGGCTAAGACGATGCACAACAAAGGTTATATCAGGCCTTGTCATAGTAAGATAAAGAAGACGACCAACAATACGACGGTACTGAGTAGGATTCGATAACAAGTCTCCAACAAAAGCAAGTAGTTTAATATTCGGGTCCATGGGCAGAGGAGAAGGCTTAGAAGCTAATAATCCAACATCTTTAACAATTTGAAGAGCATAGTGGCGTTGAGATAAGAAAATTCCTTTGGAAGAACGAGCAATCTCAAGTCCCAAAAAGTACTTCAGTGAGCCGAGATCCTTCAACTTGAAAACATTATTAAGATGAACTTTCAGCTCAGAAACGACAGAAATCGAGGCCCCAGTAAGGATAATAACATTCACATAAACCAACAAAGCCACAAAACTATCTCTAGAACCACATATGAATAACTAATAATCAGACTTGGCCTGTTGAAATCCAAGCAAAATCAGGGCATGAGAAAACTTATCAAACCACTACCTAAAAGCTTGCTTAAGGCCGTATATGGATTTGTGTAAACGACACACCAAGCGCTCCCCCTGAGGTGCAACAACGTTACATTTATGCCCCAATGGTAAGTCCATTACACTTCTTCAATCAAATCGCCATGTAAAAAGACATTATTGACATATAACTGCACAAGAGGCCACTAAAAAGAGGTAGCAAGAGTGAAGATAACCTTAACGGTTACTAATTTCACAATAAGAGAGAACGTCTCAATGTAATCAAGGCCTTCCTGTTGAGTGTACCTTTTAGCAACAAGACGGACCTTATAACGCTCTATGGAACCATCATAACGTAACTTAACCTTGTATACCCACTTACAACCAATGGAGTGGTGACCGGAAGGTAAAGGAACGATTGACCAAGTGTGGTTTGTCTCCATAGCCCGTAGCTCATCATGCATAGCATCTCGCCAATGAACATAAGGAACTGCTTGATGATATAAAGAAGACCTAAAGTGTGCAGAAACATTCAAGATATAATTGCGAAATGAAGGAGAGAACCGGTCATAACTAAGATATTTCTGCAAAGGATATTTAGAAGCCATGGGTGGCATATCAGATGATGCAACTAAGTGACAGTGATAATCACGAAGGTATGATGGGGGATGAACAGACCGAGAAGACCTTCGAGGGACAAGAGCAGCCTGAGTGGCAACAACGGGAGCATGAGCTTCTACTACGGGAGGAACACGAGCTTCAACTACCGGAGGAGCATGAGCTTCAACCGAAGTAATAGACTCAACCAAGGGTGCATGAGCTTCGACCAAGGGAGCATGAGCTTCAACCAAGGGAGCATGAATATCAGCAACATTAGGTGCATCAGGAGATGGCAAACCAGTAGCAGCAACTGGACTAGAATAACCACCAACAGAAACAATATCAACATTATTATCAAAAGAACTATCCGTGGGGAAAGGTTGAGGTTGAATGGAAGCATTAGCAGTAAAGCTAGAAACACCAAGCATATTAGGTAAAACAACTTCTGCAAAAGGATCGACAGACACATTATTAATAGAATTATCATGAAAAGGGAAGATATATTCGTGAAATACAACATCCCAATATATAAAGATCTTTCCATGCTCAATATCAAAGAGATGAAACCCTTTTGCACCTAGCGGATAGCCCAAAAAAATGGATGCCACAACTCTTAGATGAAACTTGGAGCAGTGTGAAGGCAAAGTGGAGGCAAAGCATAAGCATCCAAAAACCTTCAATTGTGAGTAATCAGCAGACTGACCATGAAGTCGGAAATAGGGTGTCTCCCATTTTAAAAAGGGAGACGGTATTCGGTTAATGAGGTAGCAAGCTGTAAGGACACATTCACCCCAAAATCATATAGGTACCCGAGACTGAAAGTAAATATAACGGGCAACATTCAGCAAATGATGATGCTTTCTCTCAACTATAGAGTTTTGTTCAGGTCGGCCTACACAGAAATACTGATGAAACACCCCATTTTCATGGAAAAAATCAGTAAAGGATAATTCCGGAGCATTATCTGATTTAAACTGTTTTACACATTTACCAAATTGTGTCTCAATGAGGCGAAAAACCATGAAACCACAGTTAAAGCATCAAATTTCTTACGAAGTAAAAACATCCATGTGTAACGAGAGAAATCATCAACTAAAGTCAAGAAGTATTGAAAACCAGCATGAGTCAGAAACTCATAAGGGCCCTATATATCATAGTGAACTAAATCAAACACAGTAGCAGCAATATTATTATGAGACACAAATGACAAATGACGCTGCTTTGCTAAGGGACATATTAAACATGGATCAAAAGACATATTCTCAATAGAATTAATATGCAAAAGATCCTTTAAAGCAAGCAAGTGTTTATGAGATGGATGTCTCACTCTAGCATGCCAAGTTGGGAAAGAAACCATACAAACAGTAGTGTTCACAAAAGAAAAAGCATTGTGAAGAGTCTGTGACAACTGAAGGATGTAGAGTCCGTTCCAACAATCACCCTTCCTAATCATCTTCAACGAAGACTTGTCCTGAATAAGACAAGAATTACCAACAAATTTAATCATGAGAGATGTATCACGAGTTAAAGCTCCAACTGATAAAAGGTTGAACCGAAAATTAGGAAAATATAAGACATTTTGTAGAATGATCTCAGAAGAAAGCCGAATATCTCCAACAAACCGCACATCAAACTGAGACTAATTAGGCAAGGTAACAGATATGCCAGAAATATATTTTAAAGTCATGAAGAGATCCCTTGAATGACTAATATGTGCAGAAGCCCCTAGATTAATAACCCACCATTTTTCCATGACATGGGAGGAAAAAGTAGAAGAACATGTACCTGCCACATGAGACTGATTAGTAGAGGTACTAGTAATTGCCACATGAGACTGATTAGTAGAGGTGCTAGTAATTGTTCACGGATTTGGCTAAAAGAATCGTTTAATCCCATCAAGAAGGACATCACGTACTCTGTCTGAAAGTAGTCAGAGATAGCCTGTACACCACTGCAAGAACATCGACCACAAGTGCAAGAGGGGCGGTAAGACGCCAATTCAGCCCACAAGGTCTTCAACTGAGTAAAATAGGTGCTAACAGAGGACTGATCTTGAAGCAAATTAGAGAGATCGCGGCACAATTGGAAAATTCGCGGTCGATTTTGATGCTGAAATCGTTATTTTAAATCTAACCACATCTCTCGCGCGAATCAGTAAACAATAGGCTGGCCGATATCTCCTTAGATAGAGAGTTCAGAATCCATGCAATCACCACATTGTTGCAGATAATCCAAAATTTAGTAACTCACGAGTCGGACGCTCAATCAATCCATCGATGAAGCCGATTTTGTTCTTAACAGTGAGAGCTATCGTCATGGAACGACTCCAGGATATATAATTTTCATCCGTGAGCAAATCAGATACAAACACCATACTTGTATTGTCTGAATGATGTATGAAGTAGGGATTCGCATAATGATTAAAAGGAGACTGAACTGATGAAGGAGACGCCATAGAAATCGTAGGATTAGTCAGAATTCCAGTCGGTGTTGGAGCTCGAGGAGCGACAGGATCCGGAATCGGAATATCAGTCCGTGAATCCATGGTGAAGAAGTAAGAATAATGGCAGAGAAATCAAGAACATCAATAATGGTGGGACCAAAACACACTTTAAAAAAAAGAACTTATTTCATCTGATACCATATTACCTTTGAGAGTAAATTAATCTTGCTCAATTTTATTAATTGAAGAATGACAGTATTTATAGACTACCATAAAGTGGTTACAAAATACAACTAAATGTAACAACATTAAGTTACTTGTACAAGAGTAATATAAACTGAAATATTTATATTTCATCCTTTGCATTCACAATCAAATTTTTTAAGTTGAATTTTCTTGTTTTCCTCTTTTTTTTTTCCCTAGACTTAAAATCAAAATATTTCATT